TGTGTGTGTGTGTGTGTGTGTGTGTGTGTGTGTGTGTGTGTGTGTGTTTTAAACTGTGAATGGTAAAGTATAATTTACTCAGTTTTGTATAATAGTTGAGAACCTTGGGGGGAAAAAAACAACAAAAGAATCACTCATATAGTTTCACAGGTTATATATAAGTTTAGCCAGTAAGACTTCATTTGAGTCACACTGCTGTGAGGTGCTACAATCAACCAACTTTTCTGGTGCTGAAGAGAAGACTGAGTTGCATGGGAGTGACCTGCTTACACACGTGGGCTCCAGTCCACCTTTCAGCTGACGCACACAATGACAGACATCTTCAAGGACGATTTGATGGTTAAGTTACTAGTCAATGAATGTGGCAAGATAAAGCAGTGGCCTGATGTACTACAAAATAGGTTTAGGATCTTGCCAGGTAGCTTAGGCCTCAATCACCCTGATGAATGACAAGCAAACAAAAGCATCTGGAACAAAATGTCCGAGTACACTTCTGAGAGGTGTGCTGAGCTACTTACACTTGTTTCTCATGATGACTGTGGGCAGAGATGATGTATCATGTGCCTGGAGGCTCCCTTTTGGCTGCTAAAAAGAAAAGAAGGCAAATACATGAAGACTGCACTGGCAACACATCCTCCATCAAGTCTCCAGCAGCCTGGAGTAAAAAGAGAACATTGTGCTGGGCCATGGCCACCCCCACTTGCCATCCTTTGGGCTCACCAAGCACTGCAGATGCTTGGGTGTGTCCACACCCTGACTCCAGAATGTTTTTTGTCATCTGTGTAGGCAAGGCATTCTTCCACTTCCAGATGACTTTGCTACACCCACCAAAGCCACCTGCAAAGCCTTTTCTGGCTTATAGAAATTGCCTGTCCATGGTCTGTTTAGTTCTGTTTCTTTGATGACTAGCATTTGTAAAGTATTGCATTCTTAGTAGAATGCTAGCTTTAGTTAAGATTCGTGAGGCATACACAAAAATACTTTGAGAAGTTACAAACTGAAGCAATTACTCGGAAACAGATCATTAAAAGGAAATAGATTACTTCCAATGAAAATGAATACTTCCATATAGATTATAACTATATGCAAAAGAGATGCTATTCTCTGTATTCTGTTCTACAGAATCCAGTGTATTCATAGTAAGTCTTATCAAATCATGAACTCAAAGACTGAGTGGTCAGTCAGATGGTAAATGACAGAGATAGTAGCAGAGATGATAGTTCAAGGGGGCATCTTGAACTAACATTTACCCTTTCAATAGCCACTGAGTACCCATTGATTGTTCTTTGCCACCCAATCTTTTAAAATTTAAGACTCTATCATATATTTGACACTATCTTAGGCACCCACTCTACTGTATAAATTGATAGAAGATTCCTGCTTTCCTGCTTATGATCATTAAAAAAATGAAGACAGAAAAATATGGTTCCAGAAGATTCTTAACTGTGGGAAAATGACAAGAACTTCCAGATGTGTCTACAACGAATTTTTACCAATGACCACATTACCTACAGTGGTCTCAGTCCTGAATGTGTATCAGCAACATCTCAAGAGCTTACTCAAAGAAATTTGCTGTTGTAACCCCTCCCCTGGAAGGATTTCCAATTCTGGAGTGGACTGAGGAGTTTGCTTTTCTGAGTAGTTCCCAAATGATAATGGTCATCCCTAGACCTCACTCTGGATTGTGCTGTCTAATATGAAGATGACTAGTGTCTTTGCCTAAATATGCTTTTCTGAGTAGTTCCCAAATGATAATGGTCATCCCCAGACCTCTGATTGTGCTATCTAATATGAAGATGGCTAGTGTCTTTGCCTAAATTTGCTCAGCTCAGTGATGTATATTTTGACTTAGGCTGCATTTAAAATTTTTTCTTTGTGCAAAGACTTAAAAATTTTATTTTATTCCAATTGGGCTTTCTAATTTTCCCTGCCCCGAAACTGGAAGCTCCTACCACCCTTAGCTCACTGGTGCTACCTGTTACCCAAAGTTCTTGTCATTTGCCTTTCTGAATGAGGACTGAGCATCTTACCCAGGTTCCTCCTTTTTGCTTAGCTTCTTAGGGTATATAGATTTTAGTATGATTATCCTTATCATATGTCGAATATCCACTTATAAGTGAGTATATACCATGTGAACAACTATTTTTAGATTAATTTGGTCTGTAAGCTGGTACCAAATAATTAAAATAAACAAACACTGACAACCTAAATTCTAACATGTGGGTATTTTGCTATTCTTAAGCCATTAGATTTTGAGCATTCTAAAAGCTTACCTTCATTTTGACCTTTGCACAAGAGGTCAGATTTTCTCTGCAACCTTTGTGGACAAAAGCACTACAACCTGCAAAGAAAACACAAGGCAAGGTCACAACAAGAAAGACAACAGGCCCTGGAATCTTGACACTCCACCACTGCTTCAAGGAGGTGATAGACTTCCACTCATACAAAAAAAAAAGTTACCATTAACAGAAAGTACATCTTACAGGTCTTTACCAGAAAGCGTATGTATTTGTGATTAACCAAAAGAAGAAGTCAGGAATTTATCAGACAGGAAGCCTGATGGGCTAACAAAACTAAAAGTTAAAATCCCTGCCATTAAGGTATTATGTCTACAGGGTCCAGAGAACCCTGAGCTGGAACTAACCTGCAAGTTTCTTCTGTAAGGAGGCAGTACCAGAAGGGAACATGCAGGCATTCAAAGGAACAAAGTATCCAACAGTCCTGCCAAGCTATGATGACTATGAACTACATGCACCAGCATAGCATGATAATTCTAAGGGTTCAAAAGTGGCACGCATACAGTGGCAGTAACCAACAATTTATTTAATTGGACTTAAGACCAACTCAACAAGACAGAAACCTAGCCAATTACACACGGCACTGTGTAACTGGATCTTGGGGGAGAATCTACAACCACCACTTTACTAAACCAGAGGCCATAATCCCTAATGTGTTCTAAATATTTGTCCCTATACCCAAAGGTAAGTGTAGTCCTTACTGTTCCTCAAGGAAACTCCTCTTTGTTAAGAGACAGAGGTCATTATAGAAAACTATAACCAATCAAAAATACAGAGTTGTGGAGCCTAGTTCCAACAGATAATTTTACAAAACAACTCCCACACCCAAGGCTCAGGAGCACTGCTGAATATGGGGTGGAGATATTCTAAGAGCCAGAAGATCAGAGAGAATTTGCCATGAGATTGTGACTCCTAGGATGTCAGAAGATATACCCATAAAGCCTCACCAACATGACTTTCTAGACATAAGCTGAACAAAGATAACAACTACAGGTAAACTAATGTGAACAGGGAAAGACTATGAAAGATTCACAAAGAAATATAGGCAACTGAGGAATGCTGAGACTGGGTAGTTTGCCTCAGGAAAGAGCAACTGACTGGTTACCCAACACCAAATGTTCAAACATGAAAACATACATACAAGTAACGTTATACTGACTGAGCAGGTCGTACTTATATATTTAGGAACACACCCACAAGCACGCATATCTTTAAGAACAATTAATTACTGAGAAAAGAGGCCATAAATTTGAGAAAAAAAAAAAAAAAAAGAATGGCTATATGAAAGAGTTAGGAGGTTGGAAATGGAAGGAGGAAATGACATAATCTCAAAAGATTGAAAAAATGAGATGCTATGTTTAGACTATATGTGGTTTATTTATTTATTACATGTGCTTTTGTATTTTGCCTGCATGTATGTCTGTGTGAGGGTGCCGGACCCCTTGGAACTGGAGTTACAGACAGGTGTGAGCTGCCATGTGGGTGCTGAGAATTGAACCTGGGTCTTCTGGAAGGGCAGTTAGTGCTCCTTAACTGTTGAACCATCTCTCTAGCCCCTATGCTTAGATTATAAAAAAAAATATACCAAGCTGCTAAAAGGAGCTGTGAACATTTCAGGACAAGGACCTGAAGATCTACCAGGCTATGTCCTTCTTGAGATCAAATATCCTGAGCCTTTTGTACTCCATTCCCTGAGTAAGAAGTTATGTAAGAAAGGTAACTGCAACTCTCCCAAAGCACCCTGGGAACACTGACTCGAGAATGTGAAAGACTTCCTGAGACAAAACAGATTCAAATTTACCAATGACACAATTTATCTCAAAGTATTTTTAATTTTCCATTCCCGTGGCCTACAAGGGCCATTGATGTAAAAACCATGTACTCTGTGCCTCAGAAAGGTCATCATCTCTTCCTGCTGTGATGAAGTCATAAAAACAGGCTGTGCCAAGAGGCCAGAGGCAAAGCACAAACAAGCAAAAGATCTGTCTTTGGGGACAACTGAAGAGGCATGTGTCTCCTGGGAAAGGCTCTCAAGAAATCAGCAACAGACAACATTTCACTAGGTACAGCTGTTTCAGAGAGTACCACAGGCAAACAAGGTCAAGATGCTTCAGATATAAGGACTGCAGGGTAGGAAGAGCTTGCTGCTATGAAGACTGCCAGAAACCCAGATCGCAAACACCTTCCCCATTTCTTCTGCAGCAGTTTTTTTTCCCTACAATACCTGCTTGGTTCAGTCAGCGGCCTCTTCCCGGACACTAGCGGTCACATTGCACAGGAATTTTGTCTCACAATTTTCTCCTGCACTGAGGATCTTTTAACCATCTAGTGTAGTTTCTGGATCATAATTATCTATACAAATGTCTATGTGTAGACTCAGAGTCTAAGCCAAATGCCCTGACATGACCTTCATGGTTGCATTGGAAAGTTACTGTGTCAACTTATTATCACATAGAAAAGAACGGAGACACATAGCAGGCAAACTAAATTTTGTTTACTACCGTGAGCCTAGAATAAGTTCCTTCTCCACAGGCCTCGGTCTTTTTGTCTACAAAACCAAAAGAACCACATTTCTCATTTAAGTACTGTGATGATATGGCAATGAAGAAACTCATCATCTAAAATTGACACATTTATTTTGGAGAGTCATTTCGCAACATCTGATGAAGTTCAGTGTGTGCTAGATTTATGAATTGGTACTAAGCCTAGTGCCACACACAAGGACTTAAGGATGCCCTTGCAGCACTAGGCCGAAGTGGAAATAAGTCCATAGCATAAGCAGTAGAACAGCTTGAAGTATGTGTGTAAGAAGAGTGCCACAGATGAGCTAAATGCCAGGGGCTACGTCTATGTGGTCAGTATTTCACTTCCCTATGATAGAATGGCGGGGAGAATGAAGCAAACTGCAAAGTGAGGTAGGCAACAACAATAAACCAATGTGAAAATTAAGTTTTGTTCAAATAAGATGGAATTGTAAGCCACAGATTACTTAAGGGCTTATTTGGAGGGAACAAGGAAGACTGGCACAGGAAAACAAATTTGAGTTTAACTGTGAAGGTTTATTTCCTAAAAAAATGAAGGATGAAGTATTGTGTCAAAATGTTACCTTCCTTCCTTCCTTTTCTGTGGTAATGGGTTCAAATCCAGGGTCTCATAAACTTATAGGCAACCACTCCACCACTGAGCTATATTATTATGTTTTGACTTGGGGTTCAACACGTTCCTATTACATTGTACATGTATAACTTTGTATCAATAGTTTTTAAGTTAAAAAAAATGTAGTGCATATAACTTTATAACCCTCAAAAACTTCTAAGATTCCCTTATCCTTGAAAATAGCAATTTACCAAATATGTGATATAGTATACTGAAATACTAATTTCAGCATCACAGTTACAAAAAAATGAAGCATTTCTTTTGTTTTATTCTGATTCTGTAATATCTGAGGCATCAGCAGGCAATATGAGAGGAGACGGGTTTGAGAACTTGGCATTAATTCTGATCTGTAAATATGACAAACTAAAACAGTCCAGACCAAAACTGCTTCCAAGCTGGGACCCTCCTGGTTCTTTCCTTTTGGATTCAACACCCTATGGAGGGCTAAGTGGTGCACTTTTTAAGGGGGCACTTTTGAACAGACATTAGCAGTTCTATGTTCTTGGGCCACTGTTTGAGATTTGAGAACAATTTCTACTTCATGAAATACAGAAGTAGAAGTAACATCTTGAATGTGCTTCCAGTATAACTTTTCACAGTTAACTGTCTCTAAACCCACAACCTGGCTGAAATTTTACCATGCCTAGGGTCATAGCCACAAGTCTCAGTGAAACATTTCACATGGCTGTCTGTTTACCACACTGAAGAACTTGAAAAATACTTGATAAATACCAAACTCATCACCAAGTGCTCCTGGACTCAATCCATAGGACGGTTTTAGTGCTAGGCGTGAATGATTTAGAAACTACTAGCTCCAGGGACATCAGCCAAAGTCATGGGATTTAAAACCGTATCATGTGTTTTAAAACAGACAACTGCTCAAAACACAAGACTTGAAGACAACTCTAATATATTTTTTAAGCACACTGCCACAAACCATATCATGTTGTTAAGAAGATTAAAAAAAATTTATCTGGGCTCTCTTGGAAAGCTGGTCCCACACTTGTCTATAGACTGTTCTTTGCCTAAGTACTTTTCTCTCTCAATGGCAGTGCTTAAATCTATGTTAAACCTCTTTAAAAAAAAAATCTCCAACATGTTTTAAATGTTTTATAAAAAAGAAAAAAAAATGATTTGGCTTCTTTTTATTTAAAACATTCCCTAAGCAGTAAGTGGTATGATTTCATTTTTTTCAAACTTCTTCAAGTAAGTCACTAAGTACAGTGGTTTATAGGTTTAGAGCTGAAACTTAACCCCATTTCATTGAAAATAAAAGCCTGTAACCATCCATCTATCCCCTTTCCTTCCTTCCATTCTTCTACAAGGAGACGACCAACAAAAGAAAATGGAGCAAATTTATGTGCCTGAGAATAATCAAATGATTATTTGTTCTTTTTTTTTTTTTTTTTTAAATGAACCATCCATGATAAATCTTTGGTGAAATGTTATGTATTATAATTTTTTTTCCCCCAGCAGAAAAGCTGTCAGACTTTTGAAGAAAGGAATATTCAAGCACTTTAGTGAGCTGTTCTGTCTACTGGTAGCAAAAATCTAGGTGGAAAAAAAATTCAATCTTTTTAAGGACACATGGAAGAATGGCCTTTAAGAACAAATAGAAACATTTTTCTCCTATGGGAAAATGGAAAACTCCAATTCTAACAAAAAGGAAAGAAACAACACCAGAAACAAAGCCAAACCAACTAACCACACAAAACCCAACCAACCCACGGAACTAACTCAAAAACACATGCTCCAGAAGTCTTTCTGCAACTTCTTGTTTAAAATCATTGGGGACTTTTAGGCGCTGTCTGGTCTGGACTGATAGTACTTGTATGCAAAAAGCATATGAGATGTTCTTAGTAGCCAGTGTTATAATAAGTACAGTGCT